TCCGGCAGCCCTGATCCCATGCCCCGGACAGCCGAGCACGTCCAGTGACGGGGATACCACCTGAGTGCCATGGTCACCACTGCTCGCTAGCCACCTGAGCAACACCGGGTCGCCGTGCCACTAGTGGCATCCAGGTGGGGACCACCTCGCCCCAACCCCGTGAACAGCCAGGCGTTAGGGCAGAAGAGTCCGCATCGCCTTCATGAATGCACTTGCATTTTGACGTCGTTTTTTATGCACGGAGCGTTCCTAAATAACATAAAAAAGGGACAGCCAGTTCATAAGCAGCATGCACTGAGATAACACGTACATGCGTGTCATGCACGCAATAGTATAATGACCGACGCCTTTTATGCATTAAGTCACAACTTTCCGCGTGAATACATTTATGTTGATGGTAGCCTCCCTAGCAGTTTATATTTGTACCACCTAATTAATTTTTTATTACGAAGCAATCCGTCGAGAACCAAAGGTACTCAAAGCATTTCTATTCACTTATCTACCTATCTGGCCAGCTACGTCTTGTTCCTCTCGTAGTTGCCTCATTACTTTAGTATAGACCAAATCGACATGGGGGCACGGCGGTATGAGAAGATGTGTCTGCTTCAGTCGGAAATAACGTGAAAACTATGTCGTGTACGTCATGAAGCTCTCTATTTCAGTCATGTGTTTCACATACCCGTATACTACGGGCTAGATCATGCGGCTATGCGCTTTAAAGCTTGAATCTACCTAGAAGCAACGACAACCGTCGTGAGTAATTTAAATGAGAGAACCTTTAAAAACCCTCCCAAGCATTTCCCCGAGGGTGAACATGGTTAAGTGCGAATACACGGGGGGATGCCATGAAGAGTGTTTATTAATTCGCACTATTATATTTATTAATCACACTATGGTGCCTTTATGGTGTAATGGTTCCTGGGAATCGCAATTCGATCACACGGGGGAGTTTACGTTAACTCACTGGCGAATGCCAACGAATTTTAACTTTACTCCCCCTCACGACCCGCTCTCGACGGGAGACTGAGAGAGAAGGCGGGCGCGCGAGAGAGAGGGGTGCGCGCGCAGCTGCAGCGAGCGAGAGCGAGGAGCGAGCGAGGGGATGGGGTATAAGGCGCGTTACTGACACCGATATCAGCGTCGCGTCCGTGGCTTATTCGGTAGAGCGTCGCGCTGCGGCCCGCCAAGTCCTCTTTCTTTTAAAGATAGAGAGAAGACTGCGGATGCCGCCGACGGCGGTGGATGGTTTGGGGTCGCTTATAAAGTGTATTCACACTTAAAATGCGGCCTTCACAGCGTTGATCAGACGACTGCAAACAATAGACATCAGGATCTTAGTAGGATTCCAACTCAAGTATTCCGTGGGCAGTCATGTATTCTACCACTGAACCACGCAAAGTCTTGAATCTACTTTGTAAAAGGCAGACGTCAAGTTGGTGCAAAGTCAGTATGGTTACAGTGCTAGCGATGTTAATTTATACCGATGAGATAAAGATTGCTTATGTACTTCTACATTAAACTACATTTTATTACTTACTTTAAAAGTGATCGTCAGCTGTATATTATTGTCCTAAATATTCTGTGTCATGCACACATCAGCAGCTCGTTACGCGGAGCAACAAACGACGCGAAAATGATCCATCGCATAATGACCACATACGCACGACCACGTAAAAATAAAGCGAAGGAACTATTTTCAATACGGCATATTGCTTGCCAATTGTTTCTTCGTCATTTAAGATTTTCTGGCTGCGATTAAATCACCAGCTTGTTACCTGACGTCATGAATATATGAAACGTCGTGGTGTTTATTATAGCGCATAAACATTAAACAGCTTTTTCAAGTGCTGAATAATACATAGCCTTTTGGAGGTGCCGGAGAGCATCTCCTTCAAAAATGTAATTCAAACAGGCTAGCCACTGATGACATCAACAGTGGTTACTTATAGCAGCCGGCGAGATGCATTCATATTAAAAAATAAAATATTTCGTTTATGCAGCATAACAGCGTTTAGCAGCATATGCGCATGTGCACTTTTGTGAGCTCACTCTTACTGAGAAAGAGAGGAAGAGAGAGAAAAGAGGAGCGCTGCACGCGTGCTTTTTCGCTGTGCGAGTTACATTTTAAGATGTAAAATACAATTCAAGTTGAATGAAAAGCAACCAAGCAGCTAGCCCGACTCCTAATTAAGCCTCCACAGTGGTAAGAACCATGGTCTTTCACCCTCTTCCTGGTCAAATTGCAGGGAAAGCTTAAAAGCTGAGCCTTCCTGGAGTCCATAGCTTTATTCGTCGGCACTTCGCAAGCTACCGCCATCGCTCCAAGTTACCGCAAGCAAAGCTGAACAGGTTTATCGGATATTAAACTCAAAAAACTTTTTTAATGCTTCCATTAGGGCAAAAGTAAAACATTAAAAAAATTCCTAACATTCATCTACTCACAACACTTCGATAGAGCAGCGGTGATGCTATTTCTTTTTGATGAAAAAAAAAAATGACTTTCCCGAAGCAGCGTATGCTTTGACCAGTGATTAAAAATTTTGCTCGTTCCCATTCGCAGCTGCACCGGCCAGTGACGGCAAAATAAAGGCTTGAACAAGTGATGCAATGATATAGGGCCCCTGTTTAGCGCTATAGCCTGCTCTGCAATGCAGCAACACAAGGCGCGAAAGCAACGCATAGGCGGCCCGTACCGCAAAGTGCCTACTAGAAAATTCGTCACATCTGAAATGGCGGAAGAATGTCACTATATGTTATTGTTCGCTCGTAACATTTTCATATATAATTAATATAACATTTATAATCATAATTATTATACCATAATAACATTTTCATATATTATAAAAATATAATTGAGCGATTGCTGTAGTAAAGCGAAACTTCGCCTCAGTTGGTTTCTGCAGCGTGCAGCCAATAGTGACCACTGTCGAAAGTGGAGGAACTCTGCCCCCCCTAATTTTTCTTAGTGGAAGGCTCTCACCCCCCTGCCCCCCTCTTCCCACCCTGTGATATGCTTATAAAGTATGCTTAAAGTTTTCTGCCAAATGAGAAGAAATGCACGTGACCATTCTTTTTGTGCGAGCTAGTGAAGTTCAATGACTTTTGCTTTTGGTGTACACGCTTACGTGGCGGTCTTGGCCCGCAAGCACGGAGACGAGGTGACTGGCAAAGAAATAAACTTTATTTGAGTGAACTTGTGCCCATAAAAAATTGCGTGAAAGAACTGTCGGCCTCGAAATGGCCTGTGTGGTTCAGCGTCGGTGGAAGGAATGTCCGTGCTCTCTTCACCGATACGATCAGTCGCTCACGTGGTCCCAGTACTTATCAAAAGCATGCCTAGCGCGTGAGCGACGCAACCACGCGCTACTGATGCCACACTGTAGATAAGCTGAGGATGGTGCTGCGCAAAGAAGTGGGCACCAACATAAACGCACATGGCAGTGTTCCACACGAAAGAATCTTGCAACCTCTACTGCACTCACTGACGGTAAAGCTTTCGCATCTACTTAGCGCGTCAGGTAGTCCATAGCACTACTACCTATTTGTTTGCGTTGGAAGACGTCGGGAATGGACCAAACAGGTCCATACCGATTTGCTGAAAGGGCTTTGTTGGAGGGTCAATTGGCTGCAGGAGTCCAGCCGGCCTAACAGGTGGGGTCTTGCGCCATTGACAGTCGCGGCAGGTTCTTACATGGTGAGTAACGTTGGCGTTAAGACGCGGCGAGTAGTATTTTTTCCGGATTCTTGATAAAGTATGAGTGAATCCAAGACGTCCGGTGGTCGGTTCGTCGTGAGACGCCTGCAAAATCTCTTGTCGCAGATTGTCAGGCATGACTTAAAGGTATGTCGGCCTATTCGGTGCAAAGTTCTTCTTCCAGAGTACGCCATTTTTGAGGCAAAGTGACGAGATGACACGCCTGTACATCCTGGATGGTGAATCGATGTTGCTCTCCAAGAAGTCGATGACGTCGCGTAGGTCGGGATCTGCGCATTGGTTGTCTGCGAAGTCACTAGCACTGATTAGCCCGAGAAAACCGTCGTCGCCATCGTCGTTAGGTGGAGCCGGTTCAACGGGTGCTCTTGACAGGCAGTCTGCATCTGAATGCGTTCTTCCCGACTTGTAGACCACTGTTACGTCAAACTCCTGTAGCCGTAAGCTCCAACGAACTAAGCGACCGGACGGGTCCTTCAGGTTGACGAGCCTAGCACAAGGCATGGTGGTCGCCTGATCACTTTGAACGGCCTGCCGTACAAGTACGGTCCAAATTTTGTTGCTACCCAAATGACGGCCAGACACTCCTTTTCGGTTGTCAAGTAATTGTATTGCACAGTAGGCAGTGCTGCCTACTTACTGTGCATTGTAAGAGAATGTGTGCCGGCATTTTATGCCCATTTTGAAGTAAGTATATCCTATAACTTTTAAATTCGAAGCATTGCTTAGCAAACTTCGGCGACGTTGAGCGTATCTATCTAGCCGCTTACGTTTGGGTGCTCTCGTGGTCACCCCCTTGCCGTGAACCAAGATTAGCATGGGAGGGTAAGATAGTTTGACGAATATGACGCGCTTGCCAAGTCATGAATAATGTCACAATCCCATCACGTGCGTTGAGAAACACTTCCCACCAAACATTGGTACACATATACTCACGGGTGAGTATGTGCCGCTGTTATGCTGGTATGTGCCGCACTGCAGGTAATTGGCACTTGATATCTATACCCAGAAACGACGACAACACACACGGGAAATTTTAACGCGCGAGCGTTAAGAAATACCCGACATCAGTGGCGTCGATCCCACGAATAATTATCAGGGTCCCATCTGGTATGGAACCCAAGCTGTCTGCGTGGCAATGAAGCATTTTACCACAGAGCATTTTACCACGTCGAGTCCCACGTATATGGCATCTGCCGATTTTTTTTATTTCTTGATGCCAAAGCACGATGATGGATAAACATCGTAAAGGCGTTACCGCGGTAAAATTGTCAGTCTAAGTGTTTGCATGCAGAACCACAGCGAGATCGAGAAGTTACGCAGGGACAAGACGAACATGTGGTACATCATTGAGATGGCCTCTCTGGTGCCCGTGTGCAAATCCATGTCCCGGAAGCTGGACAAGGTGACCGTCCTCCGCAAGGTCGCGCAGCACATCAAGACCATACGTGGTACAGGCTCGTCACGATCACTGCGGTCGACATACTGTGTTCCTTCGAATGCGTGTGCTTTACAGAAACTCTGCTGAACATTTACTGCACTGTTAATGACTAATGATTGCACAGAGAACAACGCCACGTATTCGTTCAGCGAACGTTCGTTGTGCTGCGATACTTCTCAGCGCTTGCTCGAATTACCAATATCAGTCCGCCAATCAGTGTCATTAATCATCTTATGAATATTTTTTCTAAGAACATTACTGGTGTTTATGGTGGGTGGTCGTATTCAGTTCATACCCTTAATTTGCCTTAAATTATGCAGGTTCCACAAATTCGTACACGGAAGGGCACTACAAGCCTTCATGGCTGTCAGACGACGACGTGAAAAACGTTGCCTTACAGGTAAGTGATAGCCTAACTTTAATTCTGAAAGCTCATTCCCCTAAACAACCTTTGCGTAGCTCAAGTTCGAAGTTCCCCACAAAGCTTATTTTCACTTGCGATCAAGTTAGCGATCGACCAGTAATCTCTCGTCCTGTTTACTGCAGCTGCTCTGAGGCTGTCTTTATGGGACATTGTTTCGTGCTACGTCACACATTCTTTTGTACTCCCGCACGGATAAGTTTTCGCAGAAAGAACCGCAAAAGTGTTTACCAGATTAAAACCACGCGGTGGAATCATCGCTCTTTGCGAATGCTTATCGTGAGAAATCGAAGCTCATATGCCATAGCTAGAGTGACGTGAGGGTTTCCTACAATGACTTCAATGAGGCATTGAAGAAAATGAAACATGAAGAATGACAGTCACATTTAAAAAGCTCTTACCTAAGGTATTTCTCATGATTTTTTTGCAGGGTGCTGACGGTTTTCTGTTCGTTGAGAGCTGTGACTGCGGTCGAATCCTGTTTATGTCAGAGTCGGTGCAACAGACACTCAACTACATTCAAGTGAGGGAGAAAACAACGCGGCATTCTGTCACACGCTTCTCGGTCTCAGCAGAAAGGACCTGGTTGCTCCCTCTTTTTCAGGAATCATTAAAACACAAAGGTAAAACGCATCCTCGCAAAGGTAGTTGAGCATTCATTGCACATTGTTTCATCACAAGGGCGAAGGTACGAATGCTGCAGTAACAAATCACAATGTTCCGCGAAGAACGGCAATCAGCCTGAAATTCGTAGTGCTCACCTCAAGCAGAACGCACGCACAAATTGAGCATATAGAGGACGAATTCGGGCAAACAACTGTCTCAGTTTTTACTTAGTGCGTGAGCAGCTCGCTTTAGTAAAGTCGGCCACGGTAGCGAACGAATTGACGTTGGTGCTCTCTTCAACTATTGTAACTTCAAAGCAAACTTACGGTGAAAGCACAAGAGGTACAAAGCACCGAAATCCCGAGCTAAGCGTGCGCGCGAGTGAGCCACCACACTAAAGAACACCTAACGCACTTTGTAGACGCTGACCGCGCCATGTGGAGGCGCTAGGGAGCCTTCATGGGCGTGCGCCTCGGAGCCGGTGCGCACATGCACAGCGACGCCCTGGTTGGCATGGCCAGATGACCTGTGGAGAGCGTCGGCCCGACGTGCGCCCGTCGTGCCATATCGCTACTGATTACTAAAACATGCTGAGGTTTCCGAGCCCTGAAGACAGCCAGTGGTACATCGTGTATATAAATGGTTCTCCGGTAACATAGTGGAGAAGGGTCGCTCTGTGGTTTACTGTTTAGCGTCGCACACTGTGGAGCGGGAGGTCACTAGTTCGGCGCCCCACTGTGTTTTTTTCCTTCTCATTTTGTATTTTTTTGGAATATGTAAGGAAATATTTCACAACGTCATATCTGTGACGGAAATACGTCATGTAGCCATGGTTGGCTCCAGCGTAAATCACTTTCGTGTTAAAAAAATGGAAATAGTGCGGCAGTTATTTTATCTTGTTTTTTTATTAAAATGTAGTAAAAATGATCCACAAGAGCTGCGGTGACCGATGTTTTCAGGTCCAAGTTTGGAACATGTGTCTCAAAGAGAAAAGGAAAAATGTAAACATTGGGAAGTTGAAGTGATATCGTGTCGCCTGCAAATCCGCTCCAAGCGATAGTTTAGAGAAAGATACGAGAGAGAGAGAGAGAACCGGAGAAGAAAGGCAGGGAGGTTGACCAAGCTTTGGCTCGGTTGGCTACCCTACACTTGGGATTGGAGAAAGGGAAAATAATAGAAAGGAAAGGATAAACGATAAACAGTAAGAAATAGATTGATTAGCACAATCGCGTTGCGTAGCTTCAATAAGAAGAAATAATTATTAATTTCAAAGGTACAAACAATATAATGCAGTAATACAGATGTTCCTGTCCGAAAAATTTGGTAATAGAGTGTCACTACTCCCCAACGAGAATCGCCACCATCCCATCAGACTATCCCAACCCTCACGCTTCACACAAGTGCTAGCAAGGCAAATCTTGGCACAAGAGTGTTGCGGCTCGGGCGAGTTGGTTACCCATGGAGATAGCTTGTATTAGTGCGGCGCATATGAAAAAGTTAAAAGACGATGAGGACGTCAAAAAAGGTAGGCGTAAACGTAAATTCATGAACAGAACTTACTGGTAGAGACGCCTTTGGCGATACAGCTCAGAACGTAGGATCTTGCATATCCTAGACGAGTGTCCTGCTGACAGAATGAAGCCTTCTGGAATTTGATATGCAAGATCTTACGTTCTGAGCTGTACCACCAAGTGCGTCGCTACCGGCAAGTTCTTTTCGTGAGTTTTCGTTTAGTGCCTATCTTTCTTGACGTCCATGTCGTCTTCTCTTTTTTTTTCATACGTGCCACGCTATAGAAGCCTTGGCTCAGAGGGTGTTCATTTGAAGTACTGAAATATTTTGACTTTTCTCCGAAATGAGCTAATCAAGGTTACAGAATGGTGTGTGTACGCGCGCGTGTGGAGTGTATGAGTATCGTTTCATTATAACGTAGCAGGTGTTACTAGTACTCTAAAAAAGGTAAACAATCAAGTCCTTACAGATGACCAGAACCTGAAAAAACACTGTCATACACATACAATTTCATGTCACTTAACTATAACGAAACCTCGCCGACATTGTAAGACAAAGTGCTTAATGTGCATGTTGAGGTGCTATGTCGCTTTATGAATTCACCATCGTCAAGGTTCATTTTCCATCTCTCTTTTCAGCATCCCCAGGGAGATATCCTCGGACAAAGCTGGTTTGACATTCTGTACTCTAAGGACATCGCCAAAGTCAAAGAGCAGCTCTCTTTGTCGGACCCGTGTTCGAAGGAAAGACTCATCGATGCAAAGAGTACGTGCTCGTTTCCTTATCTATAGGTTGCGCTTACTTATGACGGCAGTAGTCAATTAACAAATCTTACAGCGTTCTGTAAACAAAGAACAAAATTAGGACGGGCATTAGGCCTGTGATTAGGTAATAGTGTAATTTAACACAAATGATCGATAACTTACAGGTAGCTCATGTGACTAACTTCGTATGATGTACGTCATTACGTCTGTGGTATGCGTGACGTGCCCTTCCTGCTTGGACCACTTAGTGTCCGCAGTATGTATTAAATAAAATAAATAATAAATAATAACTATACTGCGAACAACAGTTAACAGCTAGAAAAACAAGGCATCGCGGACTATTTTACGCATGCGTCTAGTTGACAATAATTTTGACGAATTACCTTGCCGTTTTGTACCGGTACCAACTAAATTAACGCCATGCAACAATATAGAGCCATATGCATGAAAACCAATGCGTGAATTCGGTGTCCCGTGACCTTGTTGTTCTCATGCCACTACACACAGGACTGAGAAATCAATAGTGCAAAAATACAAAGTGGCGCCTCCCACGAATGAAAAATACTATATTCTATGTATAGTAAAAATCCTTTCTCTTATAAGCTTTCAGTAACAAAAGCCTGTTAGTGAGAAAGCAGAAGTTTAGGGGATGAGTATATAGGCTGAAGTGAAGAAAAGTTGGTGAACCCGGAGGGTAGCTCGTGCCGATGTTTCAGCCAGCGGACTCGCCTTACAGCCTTGAAGTAAGACATCCTGTGCTCCCAATTTTTAAAAGCGTTTTATAGGTCTGTAAAACGATGTTTTTTTTTTTCGACGTATGTTTAGCCTTCTACCATATGCATAGGTCGTGGAATTCTCTGATGTGTCGACTCACTCAGACTCAGATCGAGCCGTGAGCCTCAGTCTGAGTGAGTCCGGGTGAGTAATACCTTTTGAGTCCGCGTGACTCAGGACTCAGGAAAATGTTGGTGAGTCTGGGTCCGGGTGCATCCAGAGTGCCAGATATGTTTCGCGAGTACCCATTGAGTGATCTGCACAAATTCTCATGACACGTGACCCATTCATCCAGGTTCACGCAGCGATGCTGCCGCTGAAAGGAGAATATTTGCAGCACCAGAGCAGGCTGTGTCCCGGTGCTCGTCCCTCCTTATTTTGTCGGATGAAATGCAAGACGCAGGGTACCGTCAAAGAGGAGGCCGACACCACGACGGGAGGCCAGCAACGCTGAAAGGCGCACAGCTTCGACCACTGGTACACTCGGTCATCCACTGCACCGGCTGCTACTTCAAGCCGTGGGCATGCGTCCGCCAAGCTCAGTTTGCCCGAAGACGCCCCAGCGGACGACAGCGAAGGCTACGAAGACTAAGCAAGCACATGATAGCTTAGAAGGGTGGTGGCGATAGCTAGTTGGTATGGCAGCGCTCGTTCTTGTTTCTCTACTTGTCCTAGTTGTCAGTTCACGCCATACAAATCATCATGATAGATATGTTGGTTTAACGTCCCAAAACCACCATATCATTATGAGAGACGCCGTATAACGGAGGGCTCCGGAAATTTCGACCACCTGGGATTCTTTAACGTGCCCCCAAATCTGAGCACACCGCTCTACAGCCCTTCCGCCTTCATCGGCAAGGCAGCCGTCGCAGCCAGGATTCGATCCCGCGACGTGCGGGTGAACAGCCGAGTACCTTAGCCACTAGACCGCTGCAGCGGGACACCAATCATCATGATAACATCATCTTTCGTTTATTGTTGTAAGCTGTCAGATAGAATACGTAACTGTGTGCCTGTAGTAAAAATGCCGCTTGCAAGAAGACATGTTGCACGTGCTCTCCTCGTATACACTCCAATAATTTACCAAACAATGGAGGGCAGGGGGGTGGGGGGAAGGACGGCAGGTATCGATGACATCGCTCGTGTCCCCCTTCTCACCCTACCCAACGCCAGAAAGTTGAGAAAGGTATTCTCTGGAAGTACGCAGCGAGAAGGAGATGACATTATGCAGAACTGAACTGGGCCTCTTTGGCAGATAAGTTGAAAATAATTACGGACATTTCCTGACGAACCACCTGTTTACCTTTAGAAAACAAATTTCGTTACCATCGCAGACTGCACCTAATAATTTCGCTTCCCGAGGCGTCCAAGAAATAAAATGAAGCTTACTTGCGGCGTTTCACACTCAATTTACAATAAATTTACACTGGGCTAAGCTAAGCAGCGGAACTGTATTTACTTCTTTGTTTCGAATCTGCAACTAGAGTACGAGGCACAGTTTGCGTGTAGTGGGCGAGAGTGGGGTGTGCATTGCGTCACATTTCTCGCGTGATGGTTTGCTAAGGTGTGACTAGATCTGAGTACTCCAATTTTCTTTGAACCTTCTGCGTTCAAGCTCTTTCCAGTTGGATACATACGGTACGTCGGCACCTCAGGGATCTCTTATTCGGGGCACCACAAAATCTTGTGAATAGATCAGCTTCTAGTCTATCAGTATCTAAAAACATTCCTGTCAGCTGTGTCAACAAAAGAAAATACAAATAACTTTGAATCTCGAAATCTATGCCTCATGAATACATTTGAGGTTTGAGCCTTAGCGGAGAAAATTCTTCTTGAAGAACGCTTTGACTCCTTCAAACGCCTTTGAATGCATAGCGTGGTGACACTTCATTGTCACAACTCTCTAAAACAATTCAGGACATAGTTTGTAAAATAGTCGGGGTGAGGTAACTTGAAATTTTGTGAAAAGATGTGTCTTGGAGTTTAAGCAGACCACGAAAGTTTACTGCTTGGAATGATACGTTATGGAGCAGGCGAGAAGTACAGCCACATTTAGAGCTTTTGCTCAGAACACCTCCGTTTCAGGATATGCACTGGGGAATTACTGTCGAAAATAAGTAACGGCTGCTTAGAAGGGCACAATGACGTTTTATTCTGCTGAAGTCTAAAACCAATGTATGAAGCTATTCAATCGCCTGCAGTGCTTGGTCAAGGGCAATCCTTTTGTGTCAGGTAGAGAAGAAAATAAGAGCGGACGTTATTGAGTGAACATTCATTCGAAGTATTCTAAACCTTCAGTCCGGACTACCCAACTCAGATTTAATTTTTGGAGGGCAGTAGGTTAAAGACAAGTGCTTATAATTTCTCGGACAGCACATTTCAAGACAGCACCCTGCGTACGACGTTCGCATAATGCCGGTTTTCTCACTATGTCGTAACCAAGCCAGTTTATGATGCGGTGCACTGATCAGTTAATAATAATAGAAAGCGACTGAAATTAGTACGCGCAGTCTGTGATGACTACAGTTTCACCATCGGTGAGTGCACCATGACGCCAGAAAATTAACTTGTTGGTGACTTTCACAATTAAGATATCACACTTCAGTGTTGTAATATTTACAAACATGCCGAGAATATTTAAGCCTTGAGTAGACTTACGGTATATAATGGCTAAACAAACCCGCCACGCTGGTCTAATAACTAAGGCACCCGGCTGCTGACTCGAAGGTCGCGGGATGGAATCCCGGCCGCGGCGGCCGCATTTTCGATGGAGGCTAAATTGACTGAGGCCCGTGTGCTTAGATTTAGGTTCACGTTAAAGAACCCCAGGTTGCTGGAATTTCCGGACCTCATCACTACGGTGTCTCTCATAATCATATAGTGGTATTTGCACGTTAAACCTTCAGAAGTATTATTAGTAATGGCTGAAAAAATACATGTCGAACAAAGCCTCTTTACCCGACGTGCAATACCAAAATTGTCTAGAGCTCTCACGTTGGCTACTTTTTCTCACGCTTCCAAGCCAGATGTGACAGATATCTTCTGATTCTTACTGTTTTGAACGACGCGTTACTTAACTCCTGGAACACAACAAGTTTCTTAAAGGGTCACTAACGATTATAACAGCACAAGAAATATGCTGAAATTAATACGCGAAACAAGTGTATTAACAACTTCTTGAACATATACTACTGTGACCCACTCGCGTATACTTACCTCAGTAAGAGATCCTGCCTGTAGTTTTAAGTTCTGCTTCTTTAACCTAGATCTGGACCTGGCGAACAGCTTCGTGAGTCGGGACATCCTGACTGCCGGAAGTCAAGACAACAGTGAAGGAAACGACGAGGCGGTCATGGCGGTCATCATGGGCTTGCTGGAAGCTGGCGCTGGACTTGGTGGACCGGTGGACTTCGGTGGCATGCCGTGGCCATTGCCTTGAAACAGCCGTTCGCAATCCTGTTTACTCGGACCTCTCGTGAACCGTTTCTCGCGTCGAACAGAGAAGAATACAGCAGCTATGGCCACTCATGCGAAGACATTGCAACTATTCACTCCGAAGTGTGTGCACGTTACCGCACAGAAAGTTATGCTTCGGTAAAGACCAAGCCCAGCAGGAAACGTTTCAAGGAACTGTCGTCCATCTCTTCCTGCGCGGTTCCTCGTAAACCACGTGGCGTGCTTGTCGTGGAGTGCTGCTTTTATTATTTGGGCTTCTTGTGTTTTAACAGCGAGTTCTGCTTCTATACAGCGGTGTTGGTTGTGCTCCGCTATTTTCCTGTCCACAGATTGACGCGAGACCATGTCATACAGCCGCTTCGCAAGCATCGTTAAGATAAATTCTATACCCTTGCTGCGCATTCTCTGAATGCGCAAACGCACACATTTGGAATCGCAAGCCCGAGAAAAAGAATAACTAAGGAGCACCGTGATGAGGCACAACGCTGACAGTGGTAGAGATCACTTGCAATCGGACTGGAGCACGTCAGAAGCTGCTTGTACAGTACTCGCAAAACAAGTGTCTAATTTGCCTCGTTTCTGCGCCATCTCCTTTGCAAAGCTTCAGCCGATGCCCATAATGTGAGCCCTCGAAGGCGCGTGATCTGACGTGGGCATTGGCTGACACACATTTGGAAGTGATAGAGGTACAGTTCTGTAGACACATCATGTCATATTCAACAAGTCGTGTTGGCGTGTTGCGACATCATGTGACACCAGTCATGTTGGCGACATCATGTGAGCTGTGATACCACGGAACATACCGAAACACCACTCTACTTGCGGTGAAGGTAAATAAAGTTAAAACCAAGCAGCAGTCCAAGTAACGTTGTGTGAGCCTGAATGGTAAGCTTGAATCACATTGCATTTTTATCACAATGATCTTAACGTAAATTGTGAAGGCTTTGTTCGTGTCTTAAATTCCACAAGGAAATGGAGATATACAGCCAACTAAATTGAGCAATGATTCTGTGTTCACCATAAAGTATCCGTTGCGATGGTTTTATAATGAAATATAGTGCAATGATATGTTAAGGTGCTTATGAGGAAACCCACGGCAAGTGTGCTCGTAAAATGAAGTACCGAATAGGTCGTTACATGAGGTCGCGATGTTACTGTACTGTTGCCTATTGTATTAAAGTAATTCGCTTTTTTTCTGTTCAAAATACATGTGTTTGAAGGATTATGACATTTGTTGCTGCTGTCGTTATTTTTGCACCCTTGTGCCATTGCGGAGTGTTTTTTTTTTGTGCGAGTTCAGCGGCGAGCAATTCTGTGACAGAAAAGGAAGATGTTTCTAATGATCCTAATTCTGAATGCTCATCACGCAGGTAACACGTGACCCCGATTTGAAGCATTCTATTCAGTGATTGGTTGGGCATTCGAGACTTTATTACAAAATGTTCACGTGAAACAGTGCGCTAAGAAGCTACCCAAGGATGCTACTTACTTAATCGGTGTGGTTATCGGTGTGCCTTGCTACAGCGAGCGAGTTCTTCGGAATCCCTCAAGGTATCGAAGGCTTATGAAAAGAAGAAATGACAGCCACACATTCGTAGCATGAACCCACGAGAAAATCCACAAAGATTTCTTAGAACAAAATGTTCTAGTTGAAGGAAAGTTCGTCCTGGTTCACGGATCAGGACAATTTTTCTTCGTGTAGAACAATTTCGTCTACGCAGTCCTATTATTTTGTTAACGTGGAAGGGACATGATAAACGAAGGAGAGATGCAGGCAGCTTAATCAAGCTAAGACGTCGGTCACTGGGCTACCCTACTGAACCGAAAATCCAAGGCAGAAAAATGTCTCACACGGTAAAATGTCTTCACTAAAAGAAGGTCGGCCTACCTATTGCAAGTGTGCTTTTTTAGCTCAGTGGCTGAGACACCCTATATTGAGTGTGGCACCATGAGTATTAAACTCAGCAAAACCTTGAAGTTTTCTTTTACTGTATACTTCTATTTATATTTAATTCATTGATAAATTTGAGAGATACACACGTCCTGCAAGCCTGGGTCTTTAGCCCAGGGAATGTGACACTCTCATTTAGAGCGTGGGGCCCTAGGTTCGAAACTAAGTGCAGCCTTGAAAATTTTTCTTTATTTGAAGCACGAATTTCTTCATGGCGCATTCACGATGTTCAGAGATAGCGATGCTGCGCATGCCTTCGCCTTTAGCCCAATGGGCAAGGCACTCGCCGTAAGCGTGAGCCAGTTGTTTAGAAACTCAACGCAGCTTACAAGCTTTATTTTGTTTTCTCTAAATGTTTCTTCAGTGAGATTTGTATTACGTGGCAGAGAGATGGATGGATGGACTGACATCTTTAATTATCGAGTCAGCTTCTATGCCATCTAAGTATAGAGAAGGTCCGCTCACAGTCACCTTTTCGAGTAGTGTAAGTAAATCTATCCATCAATCTTTATTAGTCCAGTAAGAAAAAGGGTTATGCAATGCAGGTAAATATGCAGCAGATGTCCTAAGGTTAATAATAACAATAATTAATTAGCGTAAAATTTATTGTGAGAAACTCTGTGATAGCGGCTCAACTTTAGTGTGACGTCACACCATACTAAAACGAACCTCCTGTGCACGCAGGAGCCTCACGAGCAGAAGCTTCCCCTGTTGCGTCGCCTTTCCCCCAAGGCATGTCAAAAACCAGCCGAAAAAGTTGAGGTCCTTATCACCCCTGATAAGGCTCAAGTTTCCTCTGACGTCACGCCGTGAAAAAAAGGTTATACTGTACGTTTATATTAGACTCTCCCGAGCTGAAGCTCCCCTAATACGTTGGATTTCCCGCAATGCACGTCAAAAAAGCAGCCAAAAAAGTTGAGACCCTTATCAGCCCTGATAAGGCTCGGCTTTTGCCTGAAGTCACACCATGCAAGGAAGGTTATACTGTACGTTTATATTACACATTTCTGAGCTGAAGCTTTCTCTGATACGTTGGCTTTTCCGCAATTCATGTCAAAAAAGCAGCCGGAAAAGTTGAGGCTTTATCACCCCTGAAAAGGCTCAACTTTTTTCTGACCTCACAACTTGCAACGAAGGACACACTGTGCGTTTATATTAGCGCCTACAGAAATGAAGCTTCTCCTGAAGCGTTTGCTTTCTCTCAACGCATGTCAGAAAAGCAGTCGAAAAAGTCAAGTTCTTATCAGCCCTGATAAGCCTGAACTTTTGTTTGACGTCATCAGATTTTTTCAGCTGGTACCAACATATGAGAAACGAAAAGATTCAATATTAGGCCTACTGTTGAAGGTGTGACGTCAAGGAAAAGTTTAGCCCTATCAGGAGTGATAAGGGCCTCAACTTTTTCGGCTGCATCTTTTGACAAGCATCGCGAAAAAACCAACGTATCAGGGGAAGCTTCAGCTCGGGAGAGTTTAATGTAAACGTACAGTATAACCTTCCTTGCACGATGTGGCAGACAAAAGTTGAGCCTTATCACAGGTGATAAAACCTCAACTTTTTCGGCTGCTTTTGGACATGCATTGCGGGAAAGCGAATGCGTCAAGGGAGGCTTCAGCTCGGGAGACTAATATAAACGTACACTTTATCGTCCGTTGCACGGTGTGACGTACGACAAAATTGAACGTTATCAGCGGTGATAAGTGCCTCAACATTTTCGGCTGCTTTTTTCACATGCATTGGGGGAAAGGCGACGCTTCAGGGGAAGCTTTAGCTCAGGAGACTGTAATAGAAACGTACACTTCATCTTTCGTTGCACGGTGTGACGTCAGACAAAAGCTGAGCCTTATCGGCGGTGATAAAGCTTCAATTTTTTTCGGCTGCTTTCCGACACGCATTGCGGGAAACCCAACGTGTTCAGGGGAAGCTTCAGCTCGGGAGACTCTGATATAAACGTCCAGTTTATCCTCCGTTGCACGGTGTGACATCAGACAAAAGTTGAACCTTATCAGCGGCGATGAGTGCCTCATCATTTTAGGCTGCTTTTTTGACATGCATAGGGGGAAAAGCGACGCATCAGGGGAAACTTTAGCTCGCGAGACTCGAATATACAAGTTATATGTAAACGTTTAGCGTAACTTCCTTAGAAGCCATGGATCCAGTTGTCCGGGGCTCGTTGCGACCGTCGCCATCTATGTGAGGAGGAGGCAACTAAGAGCAAACAAAAATTTAAAAACTAAGTTATGACGTCACAACCGGAAGCGCTAGCGAGGTCGTGCATTTACCCTACACGGCGCGAAATAACAATTTTTCTGAACTGCTGATTTTTTACGTGTCGTTATTAATACGCAATTTTGTTGAGCCTTAATAGTGTCTCGCTGATTGCATGCGAGAGAGAAAAGAAAGAAAAGCAAAGATTGTGGAAGCAAAGTTGTTTTATTAGCCATATGACGTACTTGCACTATGCACAAGAAACTTCGACGAGGCAATTGTAAGACAACTGTTCACCAGCCCAACAGCATAACAGTTTGAAAACGCACGTTGTCCAATCGTCAAAAAGCTACTGCAGTCAGATAGCAGCCTTTGAAAATATAACTTTGGCAGCCGATAGAGTACAGCGTCCCGTTGCTTAGCGTGTCGCGTTCACCGCCACCAGAGGGCAGGGCACGCCGGCCGTGCGCCAGCGATAGCAGTCGGCAGTCACAGGAGCGGCTCTCGGAACAATATGTGAGCAAGTTGAGCCCTGAAATGTTCACACTAGTAAACAGTGCATAAAAATGAATCAACTACTGAAGGTACGCACGAAACTACCACGGAAAATTGCGTGAATGCCTCGTTAGCCTGGCAATACGCCGCAACAAAAACACGTCGAACACATGATAGAAGGCAAAACCATGGGCTAATGTTACCAGACTGCCTGCATGTGCCCACCATTTCTGAAACTAAACAAACTAGCTAGGGTTCTCAACCACACACGAAAAAACTTCAGCTTTCTTTAGGTGATCTAGTAATTTTTTAAACGAATAAAACTATTGAAAAAAGAACGTTTCATTATTTCTTTTTATTTCAATATTTGTCCCCTCACCTAGTCGCGCATCAATCATCACGTGGTTGTTGATCTCTGTGGCAATAGGTTTCGGACGACTTTCCGACTTTCGCGACCTGTTTATATCAACTTTGCGTGAAGTATAAGGTTTGTTGCATGGTGTGACATCAGACAAAAGTTTAGCTTTATAAGAGGTGGTAAAGACCTCAACGTTTTCGTACAGTACAACAGTATATAAACGTAC